TTAACCCGTCAGCTGGGGGGTTTAAATGCCGCAGTCGAGCTCGTACAGTGGGGATTTTTTCGATGTCCATTTAAACTTTGCTTTAAAACACTTTTTTATCATAACTTTTAAACTATATGAGACATAATAATGAAATTTCACTGAAATCCTTTTAAAAGATGGTTTTATAATCTTACCTTATAAGATGAGCACTCTGTGTGTGAGGAATAGAAGCAGGTGGTTTAGAATTTCAATTTCATGTGATAGTTCTTGAAACATCCATCTATACACAACCCTGCCCCACATTCACTACACCAATATTTTTAGTCTTTCCTCATCCCGTGTTTCGTACACACCACACATCTCCTTTGAGGTCTAGCCTTCTTTCCAGTGGGTGGAATACATTCCGGGAAATGTCGTTCTGAGAGTCTCTTAGGTGGGGGGCTCAAGTGATGGACGGCCGGTTACAGGACGTGGTACAGCAGGACCGTGTTTCTCTACGAGACCTTGGACGAGAAGAATCCTGAATTTCAGGGTGTCTATTTTCCTGTTACTTGGAACAGACCGATACATGACCATTGCGTTATGTATTGATACATTCAGTAATCTTTTGAACAATGTCATGTACCACTTTGTTCCTCGTTTTCGTTCCAGCAAGTACGGCTGGAGCATCTGATCTTTCAGATCAACTCCCAGCATCTCCTTGTTGCAGTCACGAACAACAACAGGCTTGATCTGTACTCGGTTGGCTTTGTTTTGAGTCACACGCATATCATCCTTGTGATAAGTTGATATCATTGTGACTCGCTTCTTGTCTTGCCACGCGAGAACTGCCACATCGCCAGAGTGTAGACCACAGTGCTCGCAAAGCATGGCAGGGCAGGGGTAATACGGATCAGATCAGAGCAGGGCAGGGCAGGGCGGTTCAGGCGGGTCAGGGCAATGCACGGCAGGGCATAGCATGTCATGGAGAACAGGGCAGGGCAGGGCAAGGCACGGCAAGGCAATTCAAGGCAAGGCAAGACAAGGCAAGGCAAGGCAAGGCA